TTTATTTACAAAAAGTTAAGTATTCTGGTTTACCCACACATCTCCTGGGACGGTTGGTGGGGGTGGGGGAGGAGGACCGACCGACCATCTGTTACCCCGAAGAAATATTTTTTTTTTATTAACTGAAGATATTTGTTTTAGCTCATAAAATTCATACAAATTACCCGGTCTGAATATAATTTACATTGCTGGAATTCTTATAATTTGATGATCATTTTGAATATAAACATCATATATTTTGCATTAGACATCAAATTTTAGAAAAAATTTTGTGCAAAATATATGACATTTATATTCAAAATATTCCTGGTCTTACAAGGAATCCAGCAATGTCAATTATATTATCCTAACTTTAATCTGAGGTATTATTTAATACTAAATGTTAAAAACTCTGGAAGGGAGGATTGGTGGGGGGTGGGGGGGAGGGTTGGGACTGACCGCGCGGTTGGAAGAGGGGGGGAGGGCAAGGTGGGGTACTTTGATTGACAGATAGTGTCGTGAAGATTATTTTTTTTTTTATTAACTGAAGATATTTGTTTAGCTCATAAAATTCATACAAATTACCCGGCCGGAATATAATTTACATTGCTGGAATTCTTATAATTTGGTGATCATTTTGAATATAAACATCATATATTTTGCATTAGACATACAAATTTTAGATAAAAAAATTTTCTGAGTAACTATGTTATCTTTTGTGCAAAATATATGACATTTATATTCAAAATATTCCTAGTCTTACAAGGAATCCAGCAATGTCAATTGTATTATCCTAACTTTAGTTTGAGGTATTATTTATTAAAATTTAGTGGTTTTCCCCAAAAAATTTCTCAGAGAGGGAAGAGCCGGCAGTGTAGTGTGAGAGGGGGAGGGAGTTGAGTCCATTATTTGAATGGACATTAACTTGGCGATTGTATTTCTCTATTTCTCTTAAGTATTAATTGTGTGCATGTACCATCATATAATTAAGATGTTATTTTTACTACAACATAGTTATGTGTCTTCAAAAAGTGGAGTTTGGGGGTCAGGCCGGTTTCTATTGGAATTAATCCCACATGTTCTGTTGTTCACTAAACGCGGATTTCACTTAACACGGGACCCTCTGGGTTCTATTGACCGCGTTAAGTGGGGTACAACTAACCTTGTGTTTTTACCTTGCATTATTTTATTTTAGTCTTTTTAAGCCTTAATTTTAATTCAGCCACACATGACCTAAGCTGTTGCGTCGCCAGGGGTGTAATTACCACAATCAATCAGTCAATCAATCCAGAGATTCTGTGGCTGAATGTATTGAACTTAAAGCCTGGGCTGACCTTTTTCAATAATAATCTACATTTATTCATTGCTAGTGTACAGTCTCGTTCAAGATTTTTCAAACACTGCTGGAGACACCTGGCAACTCAAGGCTGTTTGTTTACTATAGTACGTAGTAAAAATTATGAATGAATGTAAACGTTATCGGTGATTGGTTACTTAATTCCCCTTTGCTTAATTAATGGTTGGGCTTTGTTGTTTAAATTGATATATTATACTATGTACTATATTAAACAAAAGGTATGAGTTGCCAGCTATCTCTGGCTAGTGTTTGGCCAAGCTTGAGCGAGACTGTACAATAATAATTACAATACATCCTCACCGCCGTTTCATGTTTGTTGGTGCATCAGTAGATCAGCTGATGAGTAATATATGCATTATCTTGTAGATTAAGAACTGTTCAATATAAAACCTTTCAAAATCGAAGGATCTACATACGAGGTTTTTTTTTTTTTGTTATTGGGCACCCCCCTACATCCTGTGTAAGGTGAAGCACAGAAGCGCTTACAGCGCCCATCTGGGAAGCATGCTAAGTTCATGCTTGCCTTTATGTCTCATGAGTTAAGGGCGTAGAAGCCTGAAGGGTCATAGGTTTTTTGTCAAGGGCGTAGAAGCCTGAAGGTTATAGGTTTTTGTCAGCAAGTTATTGGCTCCAACAACTTTTCCTGAATACGAATTCATAACTTTTCGATTTACAACAGGTACCTACTTTACTGTCATAGTGAACAGGGACCATAAAAGCAGAAGTGTGTCCAAACACCTCTTCAATCACCAGAATCAACCCGGTGATATCTTCGCTTTATGAGGGTAAGGAGCTGTACCGCTACCACCGTGCTCTTTACTTACTTAGGTTCTTCACTGCGATGAGGCAAAATTATCACTCACTTGACGGACTTAAGGCACCTTTTAACTTGATTCGCTTATAAGGATTTTTTCACTCACCACAGGCCAGTATGATTGATTGGGCTTCAAGTGGTAGATAATACCCTGCCTGTCACATGGGGGAAGCACTTCTAATATTTATACTATGGGCAAACACTAGGGTGACAATAGTGCATAGGGGTGAATTTCTAAAATTGATTAAATGGAATGGCCATTGGTCCAATACTGCGTACCCATGAAAAAAGAACACAGGCGAAATCCTGGGTCATTTGGACAATATTTAGAGGTAGCTCAAGTCAATTGAAGTTTTATCCTTTTGGCAAAAAATACGAATATTCATAATATGCCGGTTTATTTTAAACTTTACATATTGAGCAAGTTTATGTGTACACTGTACATATAAATGATTAATTCCTTTTTAAAATGAAACTGCAGTGAACACGCTTACATCAATGGGTGGGAGAGGTGTGGACAACCCATTCATTGTTTTCGCTTTTTGCTTGTAAGGTCCTGTTTTGATGTCCCTGGTTGTGACCGCCTCTGCTCTTCAACAACCTGCAGCAGATGTTGACGCTGGTCTTCACTCTTCGTGATCTTGCTGTTGAATGCCTGTATCAAGGCAATCCCTCTCTCTGCAGTGTCGTTGATGACTCTGAGACCACCCACAACTGCGACGCCAGTTTTGAAGTCTTCATCATCAGACCATGTGTCAGGCTCCTTGGACAAAAATGAAGTCTTCATTTTGAGACTTTCAAATAGAAAGTTTGATCCTCTAGAAGCAAAGTCTGAGAGCTGCTTTGTGGGAAGGGAAGATGTGGCAGGAAGAGCAGCACGTTTTGGTGAATCCTCGGTCGCCTTCCTCTCAACGATTGCCCGAACTATGTTTGTCTTCATTGTTGCATTAACTTGTGGATCGAAGAGTGCAAGACCCACCAAGCCTTCACTGAGGTACCACAGGTGACGACCGAAGACTGTGAGACATGTTCTTGATATTTTGACGTCGTGGTACTCTGACAGGTCTTGGAGGAGCCGCAAATCATTAGCAGGAGCGGAGGATGGAACGGAGGCCGTGAACCATGCACTGACATACACCTCTAGCACAAAGAATGTGAATCGTTTCAAGCCTAATGTCTCACGAGCAGTTAGTTTAAACTGATTAGCAAAAATCAGGATCTTCATGACATAAATGAGCTTAGCCATCCACCGTGCTCGGTGAAGTGCTCCGGGCCGTCGGAGATTAAACTTGGGTAGAGCTCCATCGAGACACCTGATTGCTAGCTCCAGTACCTCACGGTAATCATCACGTGGCTGCTGCTTCTTGCCCAGATGATGTTTCCAGTAACAGATGAGGTCATCTCGTTTCTCGTACAAACTTGGAGGGAGGTCTGAGAGAGGGCTGTAGTCATCTTGACTGATGTCCTTCCACTTATGCTTGAAGCGAGAGAAGAGAGTATTATCTGGTCCAGAGGAAGGCCCCATGCATTCCACATACGCTTTCTCGGCAACAAGCTCAAGGATGTGGTGACGACACGCGAGATGCAGAAGACGGCGGCCGAGTTTCTGCTCCAGAATGACACATGCCCCCGACAATGGTACTAACCGTAATACTGCAACAAGAGCGACGCACACACACCCACCGTCACGTCTCACACACAACTGATGCTACTGTACCAGTCAGACACTGGCACACAACCTCTTCCCCCTACCCCGACTGACACCCGCCTCTCCCTCCCCTCTGCATTGCCAATAGCTGCACCAGCCAAAATACTCATTACTCATTTTTAGAAAAAATGTTAGAACAACTTTAGTTTGAATTTGCATTCTACATATACCTGCAAAGTTTCATAGTAATCGGTTCATAAATAAAGAAATTAGAAAAAATCAATAATAATTTCAGTAGTGTTAACTTCAAATGGCTTGAGCCACCTCTAAATATTGTCCAAATGACCCAGGATTTCGCCTGTGTTCTTTTTTCATGGGTACGCAGTATTGGACAAATGGCCATCTAAAAATAAAAACTTTCACTTTTTATTAAGCCACCTTTAACTAAATAATTTCACAATACAAAACAGTCATATCAGTGAAAACAGCTATCAGCAACCATACTTACGTCTGATTTTCGGAAAACAGTCCAGATAAGCAGGGTTTTGTCCAGACCGCCCATAGATTCGCTTTTTTCGGACCTTCACATTCTGCCTCAATTAGTCCGGTTTATCAAAGTTCTATTGTATTTATGAGTCATATTCAGATACTCACAGACTTAGTATAAAACAGTGGATGATGCAGACAACATATTGTATAAGTGAAACAATTGACATATAATGAAAATTTCTTCCTATGCATGTCAGCATCGTGTATGTGAAATGACGTATATCAGTACAGAACAATGTAAAACAAGGACCCCCTATACGTTTAACTTTAGTCTTATCACAAAATGTGTTGGTGTGACTGGCCTACTAGTCAGTTGTGCCTCAGTACCAATAAAGAGTGGATGTGTGCTCTCTCCCTATGTTCAGTCTGACCTACAGTACAGTAGGAGCCTAATCCTCTTTTTTCCCATTGAATCAAGGTATTCACTTTCACATATTCTGCTTTTATGAGGTTTTCAGGAACATAACCTGTGCAAATATACAGGGTTTTTATATACTGTTGCCCTAATGACTAATAATGAATTGAGGTCATTGGCAAATGGTGTCTATTAGTTATATATTATGGTAATATTTGTTGAATTATACAATTATATGTTATTTAAGTTTTTATATATTTAGTCATATGTTTAAATCATGATTGTTTTATGATTTCAGGGTAGGAAAAGACCTCGGAGATCTCGAAAGCTGAAGGACAACACGAAGACTGAATGTGTTCCTTGCTTAGACTCAGACTTAAATGACTCACAATTTCTTAACACATTTAGAGTCACAAAATCTCTATATCAGGTAAGACAGTTTAATGTTTGAATTTTGTATTACAGTTAGTGAGAGAGGATGTAGAACTTGTGTGAAACTTTAAAGGATGAGCTTAAAGAAAAATGCTTACTCCTACACTACAGAATGCCACTTTTAATATTTATTTGGCTAATGCCAGACAATTTTATTTACCGTAGAAGGGACCCCATACACAAGGGGTTAAGATCCCTTTTTTTTTATGTGGACTAGTTCATCAGGGTACAGGTCAAAGACCCATAACAGGGCCTGGAAGGAGGGGGGGGGGGCGATAAAAGTAAAAAAAATACAAATTAAAGGAGAAAAATACTATGTTAATCTACATTATGAAGATGCTGGAAAACCTGGGGTTTTTTTTAAGTGAGACAGATTGTCAGAGTATGGAAACAGAAGAAGGCAGAGCATTACACAATTTGGCTGTGTGAGGAAAGAAGGATGTACAATAATATCTTCGTTAGCCGGAATCCCTCAAACCCGGAACCTTCCAATAGCCGGAATTTAAATTTGCTTGGAATTTTTCTAGACAATTCTCTAAATTACAGGTTTGAGAACAAATTCCGAGGTTGAAAATCATGAGAAGTTTCTGAATATCCTAAAAAAAAAATATTCTCCATATTTTTATTTCTGAGTGCGGGACCAAATTCCAATTATGAAATACCGTAGTACGCAATTAATTAACTGAAAAATCTGAGAAAATGGCAAAAAAATATCTCCAAACCTCTCTGCTCCAGACCTGGGGACAAAGGTTCCTGGCATCAGAAAAGACTGCAGCATGCTTAACCGCTTCCTCATGTGCTGAGTGCATGGGGCGGGAAGACCGCATGGGTTATGGTGTAATTTTTCCACTCCGGGTCTAGGAACTAATTCAGAGGATAAAATAAAGCAATATCAGGAGAAAATGGCAAAAAATATATCTCCAAACCTTTCTGCTCTGGGCCTGGGAACAAAGATTCTTGGTAAAGGACGAAATATTGCGTCATGCTCCTGGGTCCTCTGTGCGTGGGTGGGGGGAGGCTGGGAAGACACTTGGATAACTTAAGTCCTAGGCTCGTGCGCTTTGATTGGCTCATGCTGTCATGTGACCTCATTGGATATGTGTGATAGGCTGAGGCATCTCATAGATGACCCCCCCCCACCACCCCAGGCTATCATCAGGACACACTTAGCTCCTTTCAGCTACTCCTCGACTTACGACATACTCGACCTACGACTACCTGCACATACGACCTGCCTCAGTCGGTACGACCACTCGCACATATGACCGCCGTAGTCGGTACCAAAAATTTTTCAAATGATGTGCGTATTTTTGAGACCGAAACGTTTCTGTCCCGTACGAGAGCGTCGCGTGGGGTGGGTTGCCTCGTGGCTACACCACCCACTCCGTAGAGCGCTTAGTTGGTGTTTGGCTTCTTTACATGTGGAGTAGGAAGGGGAGAGAATAATCTTGCATGCCCTCTTTTGCACTTTTTCTAGGTGTTTACATTGTGTAGCATTTAGGGAGGAAGACCAGGTAGAGGAGGCATAGGTGAGCTTGGGAAGTATGAATGTTGTGTAAACACTGAGGAGCTCGGGTGCAGGAACTCCGAGGGACTTGAGTCGGCGGTGGAGACGGAAACTGGAGGATTTGACAACTTCACTGACGTGTGGTTTCCAATTTAGTTTGTTGTCTATGGTGACGCCGAGGAGCTTCGTGGAATCTACAACCTGGAGTGTGTTCTGACCTAAAGTAATGGAAGGAGGTGGGACAATGTCGGAGGAGAGGTTGATGTGCATAACCATGGTCTTGGTATGGTTGATGGTGACATGGTTGTTGGTGGCCCAGTTTTGGAGACTTCAATAAATCCTGAAGGGCGGTATAGTCAGGAGCAGAATTATTGACGCTGATCCCAATGGTGGAGTCGTCGACATATTTCCAGCGAGCAGGGGTTTCTCTTAGGGCATCATTGATGAGCATAAGGAAGCAGAGTGGTTCCATCTTGGTGCCTTGGGGGACGCCACAGGTGAGTGACTGAAAGGTGGAGACAGCCCCTCGGAAGCGTACAGCTTGGCGTCAGTCACTGAGGAAGTCTGTAAGCCATGGTATAAGACTTCTCCGAAGCCCGAGGTCAATAGCTTTGTTGATGATTATATTGTGGTCGACTAGGTCGAATGCTTTAGTGAAATCAATGAAGGCGACAGCTACAGACGTTTTTCGTTTCTCGAGATGGCGGTATATATAATCGAGAAAGCTGACAAGACAGTGGGTGGGTGGGTACTCACACACAAAACAAAAAAGTCGTGAGAATTAAGATATCAAGCATCCAGGGTGAGGGTCTTGTTGTGTTACTGCACAGTGTCAAGTTAAAGATCAGCTGTTGAGAAGCACTCCTTTCCACTCCATCTCTCTAATCACCCACACCTTTCTCACTCCATATTTTAAAATGTTATGTAATGCACTGTTGAAGGGATACAACTTTGCTCATTTTTACTTATACTTATCACAATCGCCCTAAAAATACTTTAGGTTTTGTGTTTATTCAAGACATCTTCAGGTCTGGAGACCCACTACTCCCCCACCCAAGTAAGGGTAACCCAACATTCCATCAATAGGTCAGTAATATGAGACCACTAATCCCCCCACCTGACATTTGCGACAGGTCATGACAGTTACTTGAGACCCTCTAATCCCCCACAATTCCATGGGAGTGGAAAATACCAGTCTTTGCTGTAACACACACCATCATTCATGCCCATATCATATAGATTTTGAATTTTTAAATATATTTATTTTTACCAAACTTTTAGATCAACTATTCTGGATTATTCTAGTAAAGAAATTGAGTTTCTAACTTAATTAGAACTGCTTTTATGGACTCCGGAAGTTTAGACTAAAGGAAATCATCCCCAGCACCCAGAAAGATTCTGGAGATGTGGGCTAGTGTGTGTGTGTGCAAGATGCATAGTTTAGACACTGAGAAACCTTTCCCAGTAAATGTAAAAGATTTTGGAGATCAGGAATTTTTTTTAGTTTGAGAAAGTCTCCTGGTTAGCCGGAAATCTCTCATCCTTTTAAGTGCTCTGCACCAATTGTTCCGGCTAATGGGGATGTCACCACTTCAAAAATGGTTTCACTGGGCAGGAACTATATACAGTGCTTACACTAATCCAGCCAGTCAAAGTAATTGGTCATTCGAGCATATCATGCTCTCTGGCCATGCCAGGGGGTTTGAATTATCCAGTCACTTGTTGATGACTTGTTGGCTCTGAAGTGGGATTTCCACGTTCAGTCCAATTTTTTATTTTTGTTGGGAATCAATAGCAAAAATTAAGAAACTTGTGAAATGCATTCGATTGCTGGAAATCTTTACATTAGAAATGTATATTATAGAGGGACTTAAGAGGAGTCATGCTTCACACCCTTTACTGTATGTTATGAAAATTATGAATGATTTTGTGCACTATTAGTGATACAATTAATGGGTTGTTTTGTTTTTTTAGTTTTTGGTGGGAGAGTGGCAGAAGGAAGTGGTGGAGAAGATGGTAGAGGCTGGAGTGCCTGTGGCTGAGTTAGAACAATTCGAACAACACGTGTTGGCTGCTTTATACTATTTGGGCTCTGCTGAGAATATAGCTTCAGCATCTTCAAGGTAAGTCAACCAAAGATTGTGATTAGCATCCAAGAGTCTGTGTGTTAAATAGAATTACAATATAGGCTGACACTTTCTTATCTGGCAACTTTGGGATCGGAGGACGATAGAAATGGTACATTAGCCGAGGCTATACTTAGCCTATTGTCCTGTAACATTATGAATTTGTTTGTATACACTTTTGACATATTATAGTGAATAATTTTTATAAATAAACTAGTAAGGTGACAATGATAATGTATAATATATAATAAAAGAATAAAATGATAAATGAAAAATATTTCAATTTCACCCATCCCAGGCCACACTCAGTCATAGTTGGTCACTTGTAATATAACACTCATGAGCCAATGTCCTTAAACAATTTTGTGTTATTCTCACAGCCATGCTTCTCCCCCAAAAAAAAATCATGCACAAACACTTAAAGATTAGTAGAAATTATCCAGTAATTGACTGCTGCTTTTCTAATACTGCTCTAGCTCTTTAACTTTGTCTTCATGTATCTTACCACTATATTTATTATACTTCGGAGCATGGTTAGTGTCATAATGCCTTCGAACATTGTATTCTTTGGCAACAGCTACCTGTTGCTTACAAATCAGACATGTCAGTTTTCCATTCATTTCAACAAAAAAGGACAATAAAAGATTTTCAACTTCTCCTGTACCACCTGATGCTCATCATTAATTGTTCTTTTCTTTGATAACATGATTACGGCTCAAAAGTAAAAAGAGAACAATGGACACTGCTTCCGATATTTGCGACACTCCAACTGCCTTGAGTGACTGTGCAGGACTATTACCCGTGTGAATGTCCCAGCAAGAGCCCGCCGCATCAGAGTTATTATGTCTAATACTGGTACACGCCCAGTGGTCGGCCCGTCTCGCAACTCATACAGTGGCATGCTTAGAACCACAGTTAACCATTAAAACAATGTCTAATTCGGGGGTGGATCCAGGAATATCAAAAGGGAGGGGTCCAAGAAGTTGTGGGTGGGGGAACATAGTGAGCACAGTGAGCCCTCACAGCTGGGGACATTTTGGGGCCATTTTGAAGCCTTGCACACTTGATATTAGGGAGATATTCTTAAGTCATTGGTATATACTTTGTATTATACAAAAATGCCTGAGTATAATATTGCATTAAATAAAGAATATTGGAATTTTCTGGTGAAAAGGGGGGGGGGGCGATCTAGACCCCATTGAGTATTTTATTCTAGCAAATACCAGACAATTTTTCTCAGCTGAGGGAACCCCCACTAGTCAAAGGGCTAACAATGCATTTAGCTTACCGTCGCTCAAGCACCAGATACGTACTGGACTGAGATTCACAAAACATCCTACAGGCACTTGCCTTTGAACAGACTCAATGGAATAGATAGAGTCTTGGGCTCTTAGCTCCTCAAGGTGCAGCTGGAGCAGCCAGTGGGCCGCATGTTTAACACCCCTGATTTAGAGGGATTAAATAGAATTTTTTATAATTTTATTTATTTTGCGGCCCTAATTTATGATACACTATAATATTAAAGATAGGGTATTAAAGACTGTTATTTATGAAATTCTACATTCACGGGTGTCCCTCACATATGTTGAGGTATTGCATAAGAACATAAGAATGGAGGAAACTACAGCGGGCCTATTGGCCCATACTGGGCAGTCCCATTTACACCCAACCCTGATCACTCATATACGTTATCCATCCAACCTATGTTTGAAGCTATCCAGCATTTTCGAGTTTATGATGATGTTTGGTAACTATTTTGCGCCTAAATCTAAATTTGTCTTATTTAAAATCATTGTTACGAGTTCGCTCTTGGGTTGGATAGTTTGAGTACCTTTGTAATGTCACCTTTGTTTAGCCCTGACTTCCCTCACTCTACATTTCTGGAGGGAGTGCAAATTAAGATGCTTTAACCTGTCTCTGTACTCAAGGTTCCTGATGCCCGGGATTAGTCTTGTCATTCTCTTCTGAATTCTTTCTTTGGGATTCTATATCAATTCTGTAATACGGTGACCAGAATTGAACTGCGTAATCCAAGTGAGGTCTCACAAGCGCAAGATATAGTTTTAGGATGACCTCGCTAGTCTTGAAACTAACACTCCTTTGTATGAACCCAAGTACTTTGTTAGTCTTGTTTCGAGCAAATACTCAGTTTTTTGGTTTAAGATTCCTACTTATCATTACTCTGAAATCTTTCTCACAATCGTTGTTCATCTGGTATCTGGTTTTTCTGTTTACATCTCCTTGACTAAGTTCTTTACATTTGCCCACATTGAATTTCATCTGCTGTTTTTCAAACCGTTCAAATTTTTTTTTTTAGATCTTCCTGTAGTTTTGCGGAGTCCTCGTCAAATTTAATTACTCGCCATATTTTAGTGTCATCAGAAAATTTACTTATGTTGCTGTCTGCGCCGATATCAATGTCGTTTATATATACAATAAATAATAATGGTCAAAGTACTGAGCCTTGGGGTACTCCACTAGTTACGTTACTCCAATCGGATTTACTGCTGTTAATGCTCACTCGGTGTTTCCTCTCCTGTAACCACTCCCTAATCCATTTTAGAATATCTCCTCCAATGCCATGAGCCTCCACTTTTCTTATTAGTCTTTCATGGGGGACTCTGTCGAAGGCTTTGCTAAAGTCAAGATATACCACATCATAGTTAATAAATTACAGTCTCTCCTCGACTTATGACGGGGTTCCGTCCCGACGACCAGGTCGTAAGTCGATTTGATCGTAAGTCGAAAAGGCGAAAATAATACATAGAAATTCTAAAATGAAATACGGTACAGTAAAAGTAATCAATAATGAAAAATGAATAAAGTGTTACTGTGCACTTACCTTTAATGTAGTCAGCTGTTTACACACAGGGCCTCAATAATTTTTTAATTAAGCATGGAGACTACATTAATTGGATGAAGCAGAGGAGACAGGGCTGTGTGAGTCATCAAGTTCGCTTTCTTCAGACAGGCTAACATACAGGGGAAACTTGCTTGTTGAAGGTATTGGATAATCTTTAGGGAGTGAAGAGGCAGCAGTGGTGGAGCATGAAGAGACAGCAGTGGAGGACTTCTTAAAATATATGTCCAATTTAGACTGCACAGTTTGCCCTTTCTTTTCATTGTAAATCTCCCTGTAGCAAGGAAGTGCATCTTGGATCAGTCTGTCAACTTTTGCAAAACACTCAACATTTTGATCCATTTCTTCAAACATTTGCATCCCCTTATTTATAATAGGAAATGCCTCTACCATTTGTTTCACTGAAAACTTTTTGGGGGGTGCAGGTTCTTCTTCTACATTTTGTCTCTCTTCTTTTTCTGCAAATTTCTGTGCCTCCAGTTCAATATGATCTTCTTTACTTAGCTCTTCTGCTACACTTTCCACCAACTGCTCAACATCTTCATTCGCAATTTCTAACTCCAGATGTTTACCCATCTGCACTATCTTGTTACTAATCTCAGAAATTGCTTCATCTTCATTAAATCCTTTGAAACTGTTCACATATCTTTTCAGGACCTTCTTCCATATTCCATTCATGCACTGACCTGTAACCTCATCCCATGCTGCAGCTATGTTCTTTGTATATTGCAAAATGTTGTAGTCCTTCCAAAACTCTCTGAGCGTTTTTTCACCTTCAGTAACAGCAATAGCCTGAGCGAAGGTCGTACTTAAATAATACGCTTTAAAAGCAGCAATAGCACCTTGATCGATGGGTTGGATGATAGAGGTAGTGTTAGGTGGAAGGTAGACTACCTTAACATCCGGGTGCAGGTCGTCCAGGTGTGGTGGGTGTCCCAGAGCATTATCTAAAATTAATAAAATCTTGAAGGCAACCCCTTGTTGCAAACAATACTCCTTGGCTCGTGGAATGAAACAACTCAGGAACCAATCCTCAAACAGTACTAGGGTCATCCATGCTTTCTTATTACTGCAATAAAACACTGGTAGTGTGTGCTTGCTGACATTTTTAAATGCCCTTGGGTTCTCTAAATGGTATATCATGAAGGGTTTTACCTTGAAACCAGCTACATTCCCTCCCAACAGAAGTGTGATTCGGTCCTTGAATGCCTTGAATCCCGGCATTGTTTTCGCCTCTTTGTGGATGTATGTCCGTTCTGGCATGTGCTTCCATAATAAGCCAGTTTCATCCTCATTAAATATTTGCTCAAGCAAATAATTTCCTTCCACGATGACACGATCTAGCTCCTCCTTAATAGCTTCAGCAGCACCCACATCAGCACTTGCTGCCTCTCCACTCACCTTTATACTATGCAAATTGTAGCAGTTCGTAAACCTTTGGAACCACCCATGACTTGCTGTGAAGTATTGGTCGCACTCATCTCCTGCCTGCTCCTTCAGGCTTTCGGAAAGGCTTCTTGCCTTAGCCTGTATGGTTAGAAGACTTAAGGGTACACGCTTTTGCAGCTGATCTTCCATCCACCTCACAAGTAATTTCTCCATCTCATGAAGAGGACCTTGTCTTTTTTTTGTTATTATTATTCCCTTTATAGGTGCTGATCCTTTCACTACCTCACGAATTCATTCCTTGTCCTTCAAAATTTTTGATATCGTCGAGTGAGAGAAGCCTAGGTCGCTTGAAATGGTTGCTACCGTTTTTCCATTTTCATATTACATTATTATTTTCATTTTCGTCTCAAAAGTAATTGACTGTCTCTTTTTCTTCTCAGCACCATGAGAACTCTCACTTTTACGCTTGCCAGCCATTTTAAGGGAATTAAAAACAAAAATTTTGTCAGTACACAGCGCGATCACTAACAACAACGACGGCCAAACACCAACTGAGCGGGGTATGACGTGGATGCTGTACACCACGAGGCGGCCCAACCCAAGCTATCGTACGGCATCACATTACGACCAAACATCGGGACTCGAATATACGTAATGTGAAAAATATTTTATACAACCATGGACGTCGTATGTCCGGGTTGTCGTACGTCAAGGAGAGACTGTAGTTAGACAGGAACACCCGCTTGTG